TTCTTTATATCTTGGTCGAATGACTGACAATTTCCACAATTAAATCCACAAAACATGTATAACAAGCTTGACCTAGTGCTCTACTTTTGACCATCAATGCAAAAGAAGGCAGTCAGGCATCAACAAGAACTAAACCAAGTCCAAGCCCCTTTCTGTAAAGGTAACTGACAGCTCTTTCCGAATTGCATTTTCTTTTCTATAAAAGTAATTGACAGCTCTTTCCAAATGGAATACTCTAGTTTGCAAATGACTTACATACTTGTGGCTCCTTTACATTGTTATAAAAGTACAATTAGTTTATGTCAGCTACTCCCTGCCAAATGCTGGTAACAATTAAGAAATTCCTAGCCGACAACGCAGCCACAACAAAAACCACAACTACGCGTACACCACAACTAGCAACGTTTAATAATTTTTATCACATACATTTTTTATCGCAAATATCACAACTTCATCAGCAATCACAACGACGGCCAACAAGCAACCACGACAATTAGCCATAAAATTAGCTGCAAGTTGGCAAAAGGAATGCGGTGGCAAGCACAGCAGCGGCAACATCGCCAACCATAGCAGCAGCCGAGCCAGCGAAGGCGCCGCAGTGGCAAATTGAAAACAATTTAAGTTATTTGCATATAAATGCAACTTAAGACGATGGCAGCGCAGCTGCCTGTCACGCATGTTGCTGACTGGACATGTTGCTAGCTGCACATGTTTCTAGGCAATGTTGCTGGGTGCTGGTTGCCGTTAGGGTGTTGATACTAAAACAGGGGCCCCTGTACTTCGTTTATCAAAATTGCATTGCCATAAAAGTGGCGTGTTGGTGGAATGCTATCGATGAATCAATGGATATTGCTAGATTGACTTTTTATGATCCTTACTTCATATATAGTATTACCACCGATATTGCAGAAAGGCACTTGGCAACAAATATAATTGAGTAGACCTTAAGGGGCAATCGGCCCCTTTCCACATGCATTCACGATCAATATTTTTTGATTATGTCATCGAGTATCTTTACATTACTGAGAACACGATCATCAAGTAAATACTATTCATATCATGTCAGATGTCGATGTCAATATTTAATACGAACATTAATAACAATGTAATGTCAATATTTAGTACATTGGGTAAAGTAAATTTGTCCTAAAATAAAAATCAAACATCAGTATTGCTGTTAGAGGAAAGTTTTTGATATTCACGGATATATTTTACATAATTAATTCATAAGTATGTGTTAATGAGTTCAATCAAAGAAAAAGCCTATTATGAACAAGAATTTCGCTATCAAATCTATCAATTTTCTTGAGTAAAGTCTGTTAAGTTTGACAATTCTGAAAGAACTCTTAATTCAAACACGTGTGTGTATGCGTCTGGATTCGTAAAACTCTTTACTAATTACACAAAAATACTTTTCTTTTAAATGTAATTTTTAATGAAAGGTGTTTGAATACAACTACAATAGGGTAAAGAGAAGTTCCATTAAAAAAACATCCAAGTTGCCCTTTCCGGAGCTAGAAGAACCTGAATACCAAGTTTGGTTACTATACTCGGCTAGTATAACCTTTCTGCGGTATAGAGTATAAAACTACTAAACACTCATTTTTTTTTAACAAGTAAAAAAAAAAATAAGTGAATACCCCCAGTTAGTAATTATGTGTCCGTACGCCAAGTTTCACTATGATATACCGATTTAACAAGAAGTTATAGCCATAAATATATTTGCTGCTCCAGCGCTGCTCAAGCGCTGCTCAAGCGCTGTCCGCGGCTGTTGTTGATGCTGGTGCTTTGGTTGACTGCGAACATGCTTACACAGACACGAATATACGAGCATAAGCATACATACACTCACATAGACGCAATAGCTTTGTATATGTGCAATTATACACCCTTTACGTGAGTTCGAATACCAAAAGAGGTAAAATCGATCATTTTTTTTTTTATTTCTCTTACTTTTTTAATTTCTATAATTATTCTAAACATATGTACAGAGTATTTCAAAGTCGGGACACCCGACTTTAGCTTTTTTGCTTGTTTCCTAATTAATTTAACTTTAAAAAGATGAAAAATTCTGTGCTATGTTTTTGGGGCCAACTTGATGCGGAAGTTGGTCTGGATTGCACAATAGATTTGCGTTGATTTACCCAAGCAAAATATCCATCTGGCATTTGCAATCACTCTGGCAATTTGGAAAATCCAACCCGCAGCAGACACACTCAGCTTCACATACATATTAAATCAGCCATAAAATGGCACGTGGCGCTAACCGCATTCACACAAAAAGAAAGAGAAAAACACTTGCAACACATGCCGTAAAAAATGTTGAAAACATTTATAAAAATTGGACGTAGTAGAAATATTTCTACAAAAGTTCAAACTACATTTCACGCTTAATTTCGTTTGACAACAGACGGTAAATAAAAAAGCAATTGAAAAATAAAAATGTTTACACATTTTTGTCCGGGCCGCCGTGTTAATTTGAGCCATAATTGCGGGTGGTTGGCAAGCTGGTGGTCGGCGGTGGTTGGTGGTGCGGGGTAGGATTGGAGCGGCGTCAACTAGTTATGACAGCAATGACAGCTGCTACGTTGCCAAGGCATTTGAATAATTTGCAATTAAAAGCTCCACGCGACTTGCAATTAAGCGAACGACGAAGCTTGAACCCAATTTTTTTATTTTGGCCACCGTGGCGGATGTGTGGTGTTTGATTTGTTTATATTCGAACTCGCGCTTTTCATAGCCGTTGCAAGTGTTGTTGTGCTGTTGTTAACTGGTTTAAGCCGTCCAGGTAGCGTAAGTCAACAAAATGCACACAGCCGCTCGCTTTAAGAACTCAATGTTAATGTCCATCAGCTGTCCACGCCGCTTTCATCTCTTGAAGTTGATGAAGACAGCAGTCGGCTGGAAATAACACCCAACTGTGTTTCCAATTAAACGCCACTTCAAGCGCTGTGCAAACATGGCAACTATATCTGTTAGAGCTCCGCAACAGCAACAACGACAGCACTCTGTACAGTTATCTTGTCAAGTGGTGGTCGACAAGACGCCTAAGAAGCATAAAAATTGAGCTTGAATGCTTATGCTGGACATAGATGCAGAGGTGTGGGAATCTGCTATTTCAAAGATACTCACTCGAAGGCATTTCAAAGGACTCAGACATGTAGATACCATATATCGAACTGCCATTGAAGTTAGTCCTAAACTTTGGGCTTAAGATTGTGAATCTTAGTCGGGAGAAGAGGCCATATTCCAACTGCGCAAATATATTTTTACACATCTTTTAAAATTTCTTAGTAAATTCTATTCTATCTATAAAGATAACATCATCCCAAAGTGGTTCTCGGAGAAGTTGGTTAAGGCAATCCTTTTAACCATTTCATGTGGCTTAGGTTGCGATTGGTGAATTGTTCTTGGACGGTCCTGATAAACTTATAATCCTTAACGTCGACATTTAAGTTTGTATATATAAGTCAAGATCGACCACCTTCTTAACAATTCTTCATTAGAAAATCTTAGAGTCATAAGAAATATTATATATTATATGAACATACTTTTCAAGGGTCCATAATTTTTGGGTCGCGGATTATGATTATGTGAACCTGATATAGTATGTATAATTTATATTGCTACATATCAGTCATGAACATGACAACCAGATGACGATTCTTGAGCTTTGATTTGTCACAGTAGGTGTAGATAAAAATGCATTTAATTTAAATATACAATGTTTATGTTTGAATTCTTTGAATTATTTTTTATTGATAAGAGAGTATTATGAACTTTTATAGAACTTTTTACATGTCGGACAACTGTATCAATTGGTCGGTTTTCTTTGTTGACGATTATTAATTCTCTTGGTTTTTAAAAGCCATTTTCAATCAGCAATTGAGTTCCAAATCGTTTCTACAAAAGCTATATTATATAATAGTCTGGCATGCTTCTGTAGAAAGTTTCAAGTGAAGGTTTCATAAATCTACTAAAATCTTGCACAATTCTGTCCCCGTTTTGATTTATTAATTTATTTTAATAGAAGTATAATTGATTTACATATAAGGCAAGAAATGTGGTTTTAATCCGTTCAGAAAACCGGCAGTGGTGCCGACCCTCCTGGTCCTGAGTTCTCCTTACTACTCAATACGTGCTTGTATGTATTATGTGTATTACTTTAACTGTGGCCTAAAGCCCAAGCTTTGAGTCAGTGTGCAGAGATAGCTTTTCTACCCACTTTCACTTACGGGCTGGTTACATAACGCCAAGGTCACAGCTGCCTATTCGCTCCGGACTCGGAGCCGACAACCTATTTGGAAAATGATAAACACTGCAACTTTTACAAATTCTTTGTCGTTTTTCGCAATGGTTGAGTTTTCCCCTGCTTCACAGTACAGCTGTTTCGCAATTGATTTTTCTGCCTGTTTTGTGTGCGGGCTCTTTTATTTCTGTTCAAGTCTTACTTTTTGAAATTTTTTGTGCTGGTCAGTGTTAAATTTATATGCCGACTGACATTGTGAGTCTGCCTTTAACGTATTGCATAATAAATTTGAGTTAATTTACAGTCAGGAATTTATCTCATTGCACTCTTCTCTTTATTTTTTAGGAAACTAAGCCGCGTCAAAAGCCGGACAAAAAAGATTATTTATGCTTTGGTGCTCCAATATTTTGCCATAATTGTTTCGCTTGTGTTTATGACTTACTTACTGAATAGTTGAAAGCCTGTCAAGATGAAATACTTTGAGCATTTTTTGGTTGGTGCCTCGGGGAATCCCAACCGAAGTTGTAATTTCCTTATATCACTACAAACTGATTTACTACTACTACTAAAATATCGGGGACTCCCAACCGACGTTGTAATTTTCATACATCACTGCCTACTGATTGCTAAAATATTTACAACTGTTAAAAATTATCCAGTGAAATTAAATAATATTATCGTCCCGATTTTTGGATTTTTTATTTTCGCATTTAAATGTATTTTTTTACTAATACTTGAAATTTGATTTCAGGTTACCACAGCTTACGGTCTATGCCAAGATTATTTACCTCCTGATGGTAAGTATTCATATCTCTTTTAGAAACTGTCTTCAAATCTTCATTGGAGTAGGCTATAGCTATAAATTCTTTCGGATGACGTATCAGAATAAAACAAACCGGCACAAAAGCATCAACAGAAAGCTGAGTGAAAAATTACAGAAGCTATCATCCGGAGTTTGGTAACCCCGGTGTTACATACATTCGCACTAAACTAGTATACCCTATTACGCTTTGAGTATAGGGTATAGAAGCGAGAAAATGAACGGGTATTTGGAAACGTGTTTGATAATGAGTTATTTTGTTAATAAAAGTATTGTATTGCATAGTACTTATATCTTATGGTTTGCGCTGGCATATAAATTTTCCAGAATACAATTTTAAAAACATTATCGGCAATCAAGCCGCACCCAACCCAAGTGGGAAGAGAACAAGCCTATAGAAATTTGTCAATGGAAAAGTATGCCAAATATTTTATCTCATCTCAAGGTAAGACCGTCCCAAAATCAAACTTGTGACTTTAACAAAAGTATTACATGTACTGATAAATTGACAGTCGGCAAATATTTGCGAAATTCATAAAATAAACAGCGGAAATTTTAAGTAAATAATTATTAAAAATGCCAACATCTGCACGCTAATTAAATTATACTGTTTCTCTTTTTTCATCCCTGCCAGCCCCTACACCTGTTTGTTTTTGTTTTGTTTTATTGCCGGGCTTTTACCTTTAATTTATTTTACAATCGTTTGTAAGTGTCGCTCCGTGTTTGTGTGTGTGTGTGCATATCTGTTGGCAATGTCCCCAAATAAATAACTGGAATGTCTAAAATTCTTGAGGCATGAAACAACTGCTGACTTAATAAGCGACGTGTGTACAAGTTCCGTTTTGCAGTAATATTTTATGCATTTACGATATTTATTGTCTGAGTGCCTTCTGATTAGTATTTATTTGTTTACTTCCTCGGCTGGGCTTTAAATGAACTTAAATAATTCTGCCATGCGCTGGCAGAAATCAGTCTGCCTTTCTGACTCCCTGACTTAGACTCTCTCGCAGTCTAGCTCCGACTTGGCTAAAATATTCCAACGCTTGAAGTGTTTTCCGTATTGCCACCTAAGTATATTTCAAGTATTTTGCTGCCGTAGGCGTTATTTGTTTTGAATACTTGTATCTGTGAAATGCTTGAGCTACTGTGCCACTTGAGGTGCCCAGACATGCAAATAGCTTGGGTTATTTTGGCAATTAGGATTAGTAGCATAAACTTGATTTGGAATAGGAATTGTGTTAAAAATAAAATAAGATTATATATAGCACCTATTTCTATTCGTTTTCTTAATTGCAAATAAACAATTATTGTGTTCAAAAGATGATGAATTCGATTCACACAAAGCAACAATTTGGAACTATCTATTATCAATGTTAAATATTAGGTTAGTTCGAAATTGAAAAATTTAATTGTAATTCCTAAGTCGACTTCACTTTAAAAATCCCTTTGTTTTTATTGTGAATTAGTATTTATTCATATTGAATGGTAAATAAATTCAGAGACCAAATGCTTAATTATTGGAGAATCCACATTTAGTTGCTTTTGCTCCGTTAGTATCTTCGTCTGTTGTTTGCTAGTCGAAGGGGACGCTTGGCAGGTAATACTTAAAAAGTATTAAACAATGTATTTATCTTCATGGAAAAATCTGCTCTCCCCCAAAATTGAAAATATTTAACAGATACTTTTGTGTTTTGTATAAAAAACAATAATATTTCTAGTCCTGGTGTGGTTTCCATACTCACCTACATACACAAACCAATTAAATATTACAAGCGCATGCAATCCCGAATGAAGCTTAATTCAACTTTATTTTTAAAATGTTTAGTTGAATGTTTAGAAACAGTTTAATTAGAAATGTGCATTTAATTTAATGGCCCACTAGTATGCACAATTCTACTAATACTCTGATTTTAATCACTCCATTCTTCATATATTGTCAATCTCAGTTTTACTTCAACCATGATCCTCACTTCTCTCATGACGAGCTGAAATACAACTGATTAGCATTGACAAGGCCATAGGTTATTTATATGGTTTAGTTATGTCGCGTTTGTACTTAATAATAAGTACAGGCACTTTTCTTTTGTATGCTACGATAACTTTAATAAGCCTAATGCATTTTCGGGCCAGTCAAGAGCCTAATTATGTGTGTTGTGTGCAAATGGTTAATAATAGAGTATTGTGGAAATTATAGCGTTACTCAGATTTATTAAATTAACCAAAAAGTTTGTGTGGTCTAAGAATGTGACGTTTTAGTTGTTTTTTTTTTTTTTGCAAATAATTCATTGTCCAATAAATTCCAAAAGATATGTCTATCCGATGATATAATGACAGATTTCACAAATATATCCATCACGATATTAATGTCTATTCTCTACTAGGTTTATTAAAATAATAAGGTAAAACTATTTACCATTTGCAATATATATATAAAACCATTAACAAATCGGTCGTATATAACATAGACATGATGGAAAAAAACCCTACATTTGAGTAGCTTGTTGATTTTTGAATACATTTTTTATTAAGATAAATTTATAAAAAAAAAGGCAATGATTTCTCTTAAGGTCGTGATCGCTCAACACAAGTTCTCTATGTTGACAAAAAGTTGAACGTTGTATAAAATTCTAATTGAGTTATTTTTAAGATGATAATAATATGAATAGGTAGCTTACGTGTGAAGAACATTTGAAGTTCTATGCACTTTTAACACCAAAATAAAGTATTGTACAAGTAAGACACAACCTTTCCCCTGCAAAGGGTCAAGAATACTGCAGTCAATTGGTACGGGACTAAAGCATTTTATTGCACAAATCATGCACTTCTGATTGAAAGTAAATTATATAGTTTTAATATGCAAATTGATTAGCACGCCTTAAATACCACTCCAAACTTAGATCAAACCCTGCCAGAAGATAGCAGATAGCAACTATTGTGGCAGACCACTTCAGATCTTTCCACTGCATTGCCTTGGGTTGCACCAATTTGGACATCGAGCGCCGAGGTGTTGGCTTTAATCGGAGCACTGAAAATGTTGACTCCATGCAGAAAGTTCTCACTTTGCGTTGTCCAAGAACATTTTTGAAAATTTCAGTTCCATTAATTCCATTAGTTGTGATATCTTTAGATGGTTTCATTGCCGCTCTGACTAGCGATGCGCCTAAAACAAGTATGAATAGGCTAAGCCTCATGTTCAACTATAAGCAATCTAGACTAACTCAATATCTCCCACAATCTGCTTCTTTTATAGACTTGTAATCACCGTTGGAACCACTAATTAATTCATTGTTAAATTATATTGCATAGCCTGGGTAATTAATCTAACATTATTTACAAGTACATTACATTATGTGTAGTTTCTCCAATTCGAGCTTATCTGGAAAATAGGTCAAAACCTTAATTGTATGTTATTATATATGTAGTACTCGTAGATCGAACGCAATGTGGCCTTTAGTAATAACCCAAACGTTATTGTTGATAAATAGCAACAAAAACTTTTCTTGGCAGACGATATACTCATATGGTACTAGGTATGTACTATATGTACCAGGTATGCCAAAGCTATATTCTTAATACTAACATTGGGGTGGTTCACTTTTTATGTGGCAGATCGAAAACATTCGTAATTTTATCTCTCGCACTACTTTAATACTCATAGCCCTTAAGTTAGCACAAGCTCCCCAGCTTATATAGTACATAAGTATTACATCTACGATTCCGATTCCTAGCTTCATATGGATTTTACCTTGTGTTATCTATTCCCACTTTAATACTTGAAGGATTCAGTCCTTTCACTTCGTAACACCTCTACATGCATGTGAGGATTGTCACTACTGGTATGGTTATACTTCGGCACTGATTAATCGTATATTTTAACGGTATTCTACACATTTACAGCTATGTGACAAAGCCTCACTCGTATTGCATATTTGTCTTCATAGTTGGAATGTTTCAGTGTTTGTTTGCCTTGTTTAACGCGATCTTTACGAAATAATAGTTTGACTGGCTCATTAGCTGTTTTTGGCTAATTTCTTCTAAAGTAAATGCCTTGAATTACTGTTCATGAGAACGGTATTTTATTTATGGAGTCACGATTTTGAGCCAACAATCACAAAAATAATTGTTTTTTCAACGCATATTTTTGTGACTATTCGTGGGGGAATTTTTATTTGGATTTATTGACGTGTTGTTTGTCTCGTGATAAAAAAAACGTGCGAGTCGATAATGAAAACTATTGCAAAAAAAAAAAAACACGTGTTTTTGTGATCTTTAGAACGAGCTGTTTCGATCCATAAATGTCTGATTAAAATTTAGTTTTGAAATTAAAAGTCATTATGCGTGGCCGATAAACTGGGCCTACAAAACAGGCGCCAGGTACACTGAGACTCCATCCCAGAACTTATCTACTTGACCAATAAATACTACAACAAAAACGACTAGACAACCGGCCCAGGCCTAGAGAGGCCCAAACCCGATGTATTTTGTCTTATGTATGCGTGTCTTATCAAGCGTCTAATGATGGCCATGATATGATATGAATTCTGTGCTGTGTGCTGTCATAAATTTATTGTTTTTATTTTTGGTGCGATTTCTTTGGAAATCGACACAAACAACACAAGCAGCACAGCCCGTTTGTGTTTTATGGTTGATATGTGCGCATTGGCTAAAGCTAATTAAAAAAAAGAAGCAACGGCGGGTACTTCGATTGTAGAATAGTTTTGAGCCCTAAAAGGCTTTTGTTGTACAACGCTTTTCCGGCTTTCATGACGATTTCCGCTCGTGCCTTTCCACTCCCCTTGCTTTCATTAAATGTACCATTTCCAATGCACCGCTATTGACTTTGCTAATGTCTGCGCAAATATTGCAGTTTTCTGTGTGGTCTCGACACCGCCGCCGACGGCCAAAGCCGCGGCAGCAGTTGCGTTTCAGTGGACTTGACAGCACAGTGTCCCATACGGTCTGATATCACTACACACC